AAAGAGTGCCTTAAGATTTCTCATTTATTTAACAGAACCAAGTAAGCGTCATATCAGGCCATAAACGGCAAGCCGGAAAGTTATATAAATAACTCCCAGCTTCCGCATGTTAAATCATAATAAAATATCCAAAAGTAAGAATATCAAACAAATACTAGAAAGCAAGGACAGAATTCAAAATAAGAAGATTCTGAACCTCTAAGCAATCAATCACAGCCAATTGATGTTGCTCAGCAATCTCTGGACTTATCTTTATCAATCTGCCAAGAGCATCAATGCCCATGTACTTTAGGTTATGACTGTCACTCTGCAAACAGAAAACACAAGATGGCATGATTCACTATAGTCACCAAAAAAGGGGAAAAAGGAACTCATAATGCCCTAGTGCTCTGATTTTTCACAAAACAGTCACTGGCTACCTTTAAAAATCTTGATATAATATCAGCTGCAGAATCTAATAACTTGGGATTGGGATAAATAGAAGAAACACAGCATATGCACTCATAAAGTACAGCATTTCCTATATTACTTGAGAAATCGCATTTTCTGAATACATCTCCCACTACAGTATACATGTTTTCACTTGCTTGCTTGTCACCACTTCCAAGCAATGCCAGAATTTTTAGCAACTTGATCTGCACAATAGTCATATGGTCTATATTGTTAACTGAAAATTTCTAAAAGCTTGAGCAAAACCTAAGAGATGAATCACCTGAATAAATGGAGCTGGCATCTGATGGTAGTCATAAGCCTTTGATAGTCTGCGTTCAGTTACTTGTTTCAGAATGCTTACAAAGCTGATAACCAAATCTTTGTAAGAATTAACGTCTCGTGTTATTAGATCAAAAAGCGGGCAAAGGGTTGCTCCCATAACTCCAGGGTCATTATCACAAAGCCTCTGAAATAAAGTATACCACTTTTAAGTCTATGAATGAGACAGTCTATGGTTCTTAAGCAAGAATAAATTGAGAAACATAACCATCAATATATTAAGACCAAGTTTGGTATTATAGGATGAGCTTTTCAATTTCTCAAGGAATAGATCTTAAAACGGACCTTCCTAAAAACATAAATACTAATAACAACATATCAAGAACTTACATAATATGATTTTCTTTAAAATACACGGTCTCTCTACTCCCCTTTATCCCTTCCTTTGATTAAGGTCATTCTAGAATAGCAAGTATTTGAGTATTCGTGGCTTCAGTTGTGAACCAAAGGCAAGTTGGTTAGAATGAGCTTGGAATTCTATAAATTTGAAATAATCCCATACGACACACCTAGTCATGCTAGTTCCATAAAAGTTCAGCAAAATGATGAATCGGAAAACTAATCCAGAAAGGAAGATAAATTTTGATCTTTACAGTAACCATTGCATCAGCAAATCATCACTGACTTGCATACACAGAAACAAGACACTTTTCCGAATTCCAATAGGTTAAAATAGCTGCATGGTGGATAAATTGAATGCATAAACCAAACCATTAGGAACGATAAAATTAGACTAAAACCTAGAAGTAGAATGTGCAAATGGGAAAGACGTACCTTGCGAAAATTGGAGATAAGATGCGAGACAGAAGAGGGGGATTTCTGATAAAAACAATGGAGAGCCATGATGGCCTTCTTCCGCACAGCCTCCTTGGGATGTGCGAGCAACTCCACAACCTGCGGCAATACGGCAGGGATAGTCTCCTCATTGATCAACTTACAAACGGCATTCAAAGCGGCGCAGACCACCAAGTAATTGTCGGACTTCAAATCTTTCTGAATGGTATTGACAATCAAAATGATCAAATCATGTTCTTCATTTAGGAAGAGCGTGACGGCCAAGTAACCAGTTCGCTTGACGAGAAGACTGTCATCGTGAGTCATCTTAACAGCGTGGATATAGCCAAAGGAGGCGTCGTGACCGAGCATCTCGATGTAAACCAATCTGATGATGTACTCTTTCATCTTGCGTTTGGGGATGTCGGGCTCGGCGATACGGCGCTTGAGAGTATCGATCTCGTTGACAACAATCCGGTCTTCTTCGGCCTTGGATCGAGCCTCACCGATAGACTTGACCAGATCCAGAAATTCTTTGGACTGGTAGAATCCTCCCTGGGAGCCCATTGCGAGCTCCCTACCAAAAGTCCTTAATTGCTCCATCTTCGCTGCTATCTTCGCTGAATAAATCAAATGGTATTATCAACGAATGATGTTTGTCTTTGTGTTTAAGAGAAGAAATAATACTATTTCTTTTTATCAAGGAGATGGAGTAAAACAAAAAAGTGACTGAAACGAGGGCTGCGCACCGGACATTGCAATAAGTGACCGTCTAGGGGTATTTGATTTCAGATTTTAATTTATACCAACAACACATAAATCATTATAAAATTAAGGATAAAGTATATAAATCGTCTCCAAATTTTTACGGTATTTATATTTTGATCACCTAATCTTTAAAATTTATAATACAGTCACTAAATTTTAGTTTATTTTCAATAAAGTCTACCGTCCGTAAGTTTGGTAAGCGCAACAATACCTTGTTGATCCGCCAGATGAGATAATCGGCTTATTACAGTGTGGTGCTGATAGTTCGTTTAAATTAGGATTTATTAGTTTTGCCATTAGTTTTTTTTAGGACAAGTCTTGTTCTGTTTTGCTTCAAAAAGTAGAATGCAAGTACTCTTTTCCTCCTCTTCGATTCGGGAAGGTTTTAACGAGACTTGCAAAATACTTTACGTGTGTATGATCTTTTCGCTTTAATCATACTTCTTTTAACCAAAACAATAAACTCATTACCAAAAGACTATTTATGTAATTTACCCTAAACTTAACAAGACTTGTTCAATGAGAAAACGACATGATATTGCAATTTTTATTAAAAACGTGTTTTTAATGCTTCTATTTATACTTTTATTAATTGTACGACTGACTTTGATATTGACAATCATTTACTTATAAAGATAACCCGTAAATAATTTGGCATAATTCAATTATTTTTTATTCCAAAAGATAATTATAATAATATTTTATTAGTATTTTTTTAATTTGAATATAAAAATTAAGTTTTTTTAATAGAAACTGTTAAATTTATTAAAAATATAAAATATCCAAATTACAATGAGGTTTACAACCACAAATATAAACTAAATATAAGAATATTTTCCTAAACACAAAAAAAATAGTCACTTAATATCACACAAGAATCAGACAAGAAAAATGTTAAGAAACCTAACCACATAAACTCGAACAAGAGATAAATACGAATAAATTTGACTGCATCGGCAAACGAATCACAAAAAGAATAAATCTATTGAAAGACCACCAACATATCGCAGATCATAATTAAGCAATGTGAAATTACTATCCACGAACACAAATATCATATTCAAATTCATTCTGAGGATCCAAAGCAAGAAAGATTATCATGATAACAAATAAGCATCATCTTGATCAATCGTTACAACGTCAATTTCAACCCTAAAAAAAATAAACGAAAACAATGGTCAAACAACAAAAAACATGTCATAGAGACAGAAAAAACTTGTCATAAAGGCAGAATAATATGTACCAAAAAGGCATAATCATTAAGAATAAAAAAACAAATATACGCTATAATAAAACAAAAGAAAAATAATGAATATCGACGGTCGGTAACTAATATCAAAAATATTGTTGCCGCCTATCATAAAGATAAAAAGATAAAATACTAACGGTGACTATGAAAAAAGAAAAAAAAAGAACAAACATATAAAATTAATAATTTATATACAATACGAATAAAGTTTCAATATAGTTTGATTATTATAAAAGTTTAGGTCGTTAAAATAAATAAAAAAAAGTTAATCTTATTTAACTATTATAAAAAGATCATTCTTAAGAAGATTTTAGTTCGAGTAACCATGTCTGTATGGTATAAGTATATTTTAATTTAATGGTGAGGTAATTACATTTATAAAGTATGAGTGTAAATAAACATAATTATCAATAAATTGTTCGTGAATCGTTCTTAAAGCGTTTGTTTATATTCATTTAACAAATTAATGAACACAAATAAAAGTGTGTTCGATTCATTTGTGTTCATGAACAAGCTCGTTTATCGACTATTTTATAAGCTCAATTGTTCTTTTCCTTTTATTTTTTTACATTTTAAACATCGATGAATATAGGACTAATTTGAACATAGTGTGAACTTTCGACTTCAAATTGAAAAGCCTAAGAAAATTAAGGACTAATATTATAATTTTACCATTTTTTTAACTTGCAAATAAAAGAATAAAAAATACAGTGTTGGTTGACTTCATTAAATGAACCTTCAATGAACATGTTTGAGAAAGCGAAATAAATCTATTATGAACACATTCAAAAATAATAATAAACGAATATGAATACAATATTAAAAATTTAAACAAACATTGACAAAAATGATGTAAGAAAGTGACAGTTTGACAACTTAAAATCGATGATTAAATAATTTTAATGTTATGGTATGAGAAGGTGACAGTTAGACAACTTAAAATGTATGATCAAATTGTTTTGATTTTTTTTTTCTTGGATAGATTTAAACCATGGATGACTAATAGGACAAAGAATGTGATATTTTAATGACACTCATGATTAAGGAAGAATACGATATTGATGAACGATCATAATAGTTAATGTCAAAATTTGAGTATATAAAAGAAAAAGGAAAGTAAAAAAAAATTAAAAAAGAGGAAAATTAGAGATATGAGAAAAATTATGTTTTATATGAATCTAATATGACGATATTTTAGTATAAATTTAATTTTTTTAAAATGTTACTATTTTTTTTAAAGAAATGATGTATTTTTGTCAGTCATGTATTAAAAATTTAAAGATATAAGTTGTTAAAAATGAACAATTTTTAAATTTTAATGATTAAATTAAAAATTTTAATAATTAAAGTAAGAATTAAATGGAAATCGTGTAATAAAATTTGTAATTAAAAACCCTTTAAATGAGGGTTAATTCTAGTTTTTCCTTCTAAATTTTGTTCCATTTGTTCTCTGCCGCCCTATTTCTCCATTACACCACAGGGATTGGAACTTCCAAAACATGGGTCCTTAATTCGTACACTTTCTATTTGCAACCCCTGCCGTGTATTATCTTTGAATCACAAACCGTCGTTGATGTGCTTCTAGTTATCTCTCTTTCGATTTTGTTCTAGGTTTTGAGATGGTTTTGCCCAGATTTGTTCGTCCCAAAGAAGGAGATAGCGAGTCAAGCCCAAACCTTTATGTGGCGAACTGTGGTCCTGCGGTGGGACTTTCATACGATACCATCGCATCTGTGTTTAGCTTCTTTGGGGAGGTTAAGGGAGTGTATGCGGCTGATGAAAGTGGTGCTCGTGTTATCGTTTCTTTTCTTGAACCAGCCTCTGCTCACTCTGCTTTCAATGCCTTGAATGGCCGGCCTTGTCCTCAGCTCGGCGGCCGGTCTTTGCACATCCGTCATTCCATTATGCAACCACCATCTTCCAGGGTGGCCGCTCTCTGCAATCCGTCATTTCATTTTTTGTAATTTCTGTTAATACTTACTTATACGTGGTTGTTTATTACACCTAGGTCGATGACTCTGTTCCAGTCTCGTTAAAAGCTCCGGATTTAAATATTCCAGGACTCTACTTGTTCCATGACTTCATCAGTGCTATGGAAGAGGAGGTTAGGACTCGGGAGTCCTTATTTTTTTCTACTGATTTCTCTGATTTGTTATTTATTCCATGATATATGCACTGCCTAAAGTGCTTTGTTTTTCTTCAGGAATTGCTTCGAGCAGTCGATGCCGGAACTTGGAAAAGCCTTTCCAAAAGGAGGGTTCAGCACTATGGATATGAGTTTTGTTACGATGTAAGTGCTAACTGTTGCTGGTCTATTACGTCTAATGCATGTTTCGCAACATTGGAAACACATCTGCTATATGTTGAGTTCATGGGAAAGTTACCTAGGGTTAGGAGGATATTCTCTTATTTACCACTTTGAGTGTCATTGAGCTTTTGAATGGTTGGCATAGAGCATATAAACATTTATGAAATATGAATGTGTTGGTTGATAAATACTGTTTTCTACCTCCTGATACTGGTGTAAAATATAAGGTGCTTCGTGATCTTATACATTGCTTGTTAACTCCAGATTGTTTCTCTTGTTGCAGACTAGGAATGTTGATGCAAAGCGGCATTTGGGTGAGCTTCCAGCATTTGTTTCCTTTATACTCCAGAGGGTTTCATTACTTCAAGACATTCCTGAGAAATTGGATTTGGACCAATTGACGGTATGTAGTAGCAGGTTCCATTCCTCTTCTTTCTATTCCTAAAAATTAGACATTGTAACCTTCGACATATTTACTGTTCTATAAATAGACCAAAGGTTTCCATGTTTTGGTTTGAAAGGAAAAAAAGAAAACCTTGAGCGTTATGTCATGGTTATAGATATACAGCTTGGACCTAGGAGGACAATGATGATGTTAGCAAGACTGAAGATCAGTAATTACCTTACAGGTTAATGAATACCCACCTGGGGTGGGCTTGTCCCCACACATAGACACTCACTCCGCATTTGAAGGATTAATTTTCAGCCTTTCACTAGCAGGGCCTTGCATTATGGAGTTTAGAAGATATACAGCAGGTTCATGGGTTCCTAAATCTGTCTCAGTAAGTGACTTGAAAGACGAAAATCCTTATGGTTGCTCAGAGCTTTCTAGGAAGGCTATCTATCTTTCTCCTCGGTCAATGCTTCTTCTATCCGGGGAAGCACGATATGCTTGGCATCATTACATTCCACATCATAAGGTATGCTTTACAGTTTGCAATTAAATGATTACTGTATACTTTCATCCAGGCAAGTTTCTATTTTAGAGGTTCTGAAATCTTAGTTTCACTGTTGATATCATAAAACCCAAAAGTTAGGGCTATGAAATCAAAGGTCGTGAAAATTGCAAATAGGAAAAAGAGACGAAGAGTTGAGTTGAGTGGATAACTGAATCCTCCAGTTGGAAAGTGTTAACCAAGGTTGAACTTCAAATCTCTTGTAAGTATGTGTTTGGTCCTTCAGATTGAGAAGTCTTCAAAGTTCACTGCTTCCAGTGAGTGGAACTTAATGAAAGTGTTAACCAAGGTTGAACTTCAAATCTCTTGTAAGTATGTGTTTGGTCCTTCAGATTGAGAAGTCTTCAAAGTTCACTGCTTCCAGTGAGTGGAACTTAATAGTAGATCACTTCTAATATTTTGATACCTGAACTAAGATGAAATTTTGGATGAGTGACTAGGTATATGTTGAGGGTAAAAGTGGGATTTAAATAGTGTCACAATGTGACATTATGGCCACTATTTTTCTGTTTCAGTCCTCTACACTGCCAGTATTAACCGTAATTGATTGGATAGCATTTGTTATGTCCACAACTGTAACAAAAAATGACACAATACAAAATGTATCCGTCATTGCAACTTAAATCCCTAGTTAAAGTGATGCCATGATATTTCATTTGGCGATGGGTAATGTTCATGTTGTATCAAATCAACATCAGTTGAACTTGCCGACAGTCCATCTTACAATGTTTGAGCATTGAGACTCAATGCCTACTGTTAGCTCTATGTTCAGGTTATATGGAAATCACTAAAATTTCTTTTCCTTGATGCTTGAAGATCTTCATGCTAATTGTAAGGTTTTGAAGAAAATACTATGAATGTGGTGAATAGTGATCGGGTTATAAGAAAATAATAAAAATTTACGACTGTTATATTTCTACATCTTGGTGTGTTAGGTATCCTTGGATGGCATACCAACTTTCCAAGGATTACATTCAAACATTTTTCATGTTACAATCATCCGTGAATGCTGAAGTCCATTATCGCGTGATTTGCAGATTGATAATGTGAACGAAACAATGATCAGAAGGGGGTCACGAAGAGTATCTTTCACATTTCGCAAGGTTTGTGAGATTTACAATTCATGAAGAGATCATATTAGATTTTACTGTATGGAGAGATTTGAATACCATCTTCCTTGGTGCAGGTAAGAAGAGGACCTTGCCAATGCGAATTTCCCCAATACTGCGACTCTCAACCCCAAAGATAAGGGATGATGCTTTTGTTGTGTTAACGTTGAGATAGGTATGGCTATGCAACAGAGTTGATTTTGTACGAACGTTGTGCTGAGAGGATTGATTTTTTTGTCGCAAACTACAGGAGCTGAACCATTAAGTAAAAACCATTTGATTTAAGGCACATGCATACATTCACAATCCAAGGATGACCAAAGCTTGATGATAAACCACCAACAATATTTATTAGATCCCGACAATGCATAACATACCTTAAGGTGACTAATAACTAATTAGAATGACATTACCTAATTAAAAGAACACAGAAAAATACAACCAGTCCAAAATAAGTATATTCTCTTACAGGGCTGAAGTCTATCATAAACCTATGGTTCTACACCTTTCAATATGTTATCATTGTTAGCTTACAATCGTTATTGGCCCTATTTTTAGTCTTAAGGTGACTAATACTAATTAGAATGACATTACCTAATTAAAAGAACACAGAAAAATACAACCAGTCCAAAATAAGTATATTCTCTTACAGGGCTGAAGTCTATCATAAACCTATGGTTCTACACCTTTCAATATGTTATCATTGTTAGCTTACAATCGTTATTGGCCCTATTTTTAGTTTGTATATGTATAAAGGAGCAGCATCCACAGTTATCAAGGCCCTACATCACCAGCTATATCAATTGCAATGCATATTTAACAATTATACGCAAAAGGAATCAATTATAGACACTAATACAATTAGATCTATTCTTTATAGATGAACTTTGGATGTGTGATCCTAAGTAAGACCGGTTCAGGATAATAGGATCTTTTTCTATCAGATAGGAAGGGTTGTTATACAAAATGTTGTTTTAGGCAATTGTCTCTTAGATCCTATATTTATCTATATGAAAAAGAAATCATGTAATAAAGGGGATTTTTATTTGTACAATGGCACTTCAAGCTTGGAATGTGCATGAAGAAATTAATGATACTTCTTTATCATTTGACTTGTTCTGCCGCTCAAGACATTTGGTCAATATTTGAACCCGATGAAAATAATGGGACCACTTCTTATGAGTTCAATGAGAATGATTCTAATCTAGTTCATGGCCTATTAGAAGTAAAAAGCGCTCTGGTGGGATCCTCACAAACACAAAAAGATCGTGATCAGTTTGATAATGATCGAGTGATATTGTTTCTTTGGTTCGAGTCAGAAAATATATTATATACGATGAATTAATATTTAACTACGGAACTATTCTAAATTAAATGATTAAGATTACCATGCATGCATTTAATGAAGTAATACTAATCAAGAGACATTTTACTGCTTGACCTAGGAGTTAAGAAATTAATTTCATAATATGGTAAACCGAGGGCAAGTGGTTGATCTTGTATGGTTCATTAAGCTTGCAGGAAAAAGCAAGTATTAGGAAATCACGTTAGTTCGTTCCAATCTAATACTTCAAACTTCTTTTTAAAAGAGAAGATTAAACTATTTAATTATTTTATTATTCCCACATCTACATGCTACCAACTGGTTTGAGGCTACTAATACAATCTGCAGTAAAAAATATTCATGCAAATCTGTTTTATCAATAAGATTATTTAACGATTAAAATGATATAAATTAAATCATCAAGACTTAATGGAAAAGATAACATGATAATTAAAAATTTTGATAAAATTATATATTTGGTCTCTTTTATTTGCACATTCCTAGTATTTCGTATAAAACTATGATCAAATTGATAAAATGAGTAAGTAACATGAATTAAATATATAATTCTATTATTTTTAACTATCATGTCACATGTCCGTTACTGACTAGATAGTTTGATTGAAAAAAATTAATAGATTGATGATTATATTAAAATATCTCATAATTAAGTGGTCAAATTATAAAACTAAAAAGTATTGACGTCCACTACAGCAGCGAGCTTCGAAAATTCAAATCAAAGCTGCTGTTGCGGATGGGCTTCGAGATTAGGCTTTGGGTTAGCACAGTCATTTTTGGTGTCAAGCCAGCCCAGTTAATGCTGAAACAAACAAAACAAATTAGCGATGGGCTGGGAGGCTGCGAAGGGAAGGGATGAATGAGAAAGCAGTCGGAGGAAAGCGGCGGTGAGTGAGCGAAGAAGTAGATATAACTTGGATGTTGATCATCAGGAGGACTACAGCTGTAACTTTAACCATCGCTCGCCTACCTATTCCTTGTACCATAACCCGCAGTCTTCGTGTCAGGTACTACATCCACCTTTAATGATTATATACATTATTTTCTTTCACAAAATGTTAGCCAGTTGTTCCAACTCCATCTCTTGTTCTCTGCGTGTGTATGTGTGTGTGAGTAGCAAGTTGAAGATGGAAACAAGAAGCTCAATGAGTATGAGTATGAGCACAAGCAATAGCACGGGAGGAAGCGGCAAGTCAGGACCAATAGTTCGTGAATTTGTTAGTGTAGAAGGCGGTAGCGACGCCAGAGGCCAAACTGATGCTATCAGATTCCGTCTTGTATCATACAACATTTTGGCTCAGGTAGTTTTTTTTCTCAATCTTTCTTTAACAGTTGGGGGATCTATTGGCTTCAATTACTTATTCACTTACCTTTTACGTCTTCTCAATTTTATTTCTCAATTTTAATTACAAACTCAACGAACGATATTTGTTGATTCATTATTGTTTAGTACATAACTAGAGACTACATATGTATGTACCTCAATTTAAGCCTGCTATTTAATTGTTTCACATCAGATGGAAGGCTCGTTCACAAGCAATTTTAACTCTTCTTAAAAACCTTGGAGCTGACTTTTATTCCCTTCAGGTTTGTTTTTATTCCTTTCAATGAAATTCATGAATTTTAATTTTTTGCCTATTCCATCTTCTGCTTCTTCTCTTCCTTGCATTCGTCTCTCTCTATATCTGCATGCACATTTGTACTTTGAGTGTATTGTATATGTCCTTGTTATTCTGATTTCTCTTATATATATGGTCAAAAAATGTACCAGGAAGTAGATGAGTTTGATTCGTTTTACAAAAAAAGTATGGAGGACCTTGGGTATTCTAGCATATATATTCAGAGAAGCGGACAGAAGCGTGATGGATGTGGAATATTTTATAAGAAAAACTGGTATGCTTAAACTGTTCTGTTTTTCTTTCAAAAACAATATCCTTCAATATATATTACTAGAATATCCTAGAATATATACTAGAATTTTGTCTCATATTACATAACACTGTCATGCCATCTTATTTTCATAGCAACTATTGCACAATTATTTCAGTGCAGAATTGCTCTTAGAGGAAACAATAGATTACAATGACCTTGTACCCTTGGTACATGGTGAAACCTTCTTGTCTTCGGATAAGCAGAATGCACCTCTGGCCAGCGGAAATAAAGGGGATGATCCAAAGCAAGGTAACCTTATCTATTGTTATATTTCCTTTTTAAATCCAAGCACACCTGCATTATACTTGTTGCTTGATATTTTGGCATCATGAAGGCAAGTTATGTAATTTTTATTAGACTTTTCTGTCTCTGATTTTAAAGACTGCTCTGCCTCTTGCCTTTACTTTCCTCTTCTTCGCATTACCATGTGCAATTTGTTTTAGTATTTTCTCTTCCCCTTTCTCCATAAGAATTGCCTTTGGGAGGTTTTATGCCCTTTACAAGCTGAGATGGATTAGAAATAAGCTTTATTTTGGCATTAATATCGAGCAAAAAGTTCTGTAGTAAATCTTCAAACATATAGGTCAGTTTCAGAGACCCTGTTTTCTGAGGTTTCTGGAAGTTCTTAAATTGTATTTACCTAGTTAACTGAAATATCTGTTTGCAGAAAAGCAAGCTTCTTAACCACTGAGCTGCTGGTGGCATCTTAACCAGTAACAATCTTCTTGTTGTATGTCGTAGAGATTATATGGACTAAATGTCTCCTGCTGAACTTCTATTAATTTATATTACAGCAAAAATACATTTTGATGAAGAAAAAATCTATATATTTAATCAATTATCATTTTGCAAATCTTGATGATACGGATACCTGCCTTTTCCTTCTGTTTTTTTTGTTGCTAAAACTATTTTTTTATGATTGAGCCTCGTATCATTATCTGCTACAAAATAGTAATGACATGGTATGACGGTTTTTCACTGCTTGGATGATCTGTTTCAGATTTGTCGGAAAAATTTTCAGAACTGTCAGTAAAAGGTAGTCCAGAACATCGTGGAGATCCCAATGATCCACGTGTAAGATTAAAAAGAGACTGTGTAGGAGTTATGGCTGCCTTTAAACTCAAGCATCCTTTTCATCACGTTGTCATTCTGGCAAACACTCATCTTTATTGGTAAACAGTCCAAAATTTCATTGATCCATTCAGTATAATGTGTTCATATACATATTAGATTCCATAAGTTGGCTATGCTGAAGCAAATGCATTTTTTTATAAATAAAAAAAAAAATCAGGGATCCAGAATGGGCTGATGTTAAGCTTGCCCAAGCCAAATATCTTTTAGCACGCTTATCTCAGTTTAAAACACGTGTAACAGACAGATTTGAACGTACTCCTTCAGTAATTTTGTGTGGTGATTTCAATTCAACTCCTGGAGATAAGGTTTGTCTGTCCATTTTAACTTGTTTATTAGTTTTTCATGTGTGTGCCCGCGCGTGCGCGAGTTTTCTTATCTAGTTTCCATGGGGTAATCCAAATTTGTCATCTGTGACTTTTTTTATCCATGCAATTTCGTATTGGAAAATAATCCTGATTCTGCGAGTTTCTTGATGGTTCTATTTGTATTCCTATTTTATTGTGCTCTTTTATCCGTTTAACATTTTCATGTAGAGATAAAATCTCTGGAGGAAAGACTTGGTGCTAGTGAACTAAGTTTGTGTCTAATAGCAGTTTGTCTTGCACGATTTTAATTTGCAATTTGTACTGTATAGCTAGCACATGAAAATGGGTTTTTTACCTTAATGAAAAAGCTTAATTGTGATGTTTAGCGAGCTTGACCATCCATGGGGATTCTTGTTTTTTATACAGTAGATCTTTTTTTACTCACCTTAAGCAGCTTTTGTTGAAAACCTTGTTCTCCCTCTGTGTCTGGTTTTGAGAGTGCTTTTTAGGGCACCTTATTTATTTTCATATAACTGTCCTTGACTGGCTTGTATGTCGTTCTCCCATTTTCTTCTTTGGGCCTGTTTCCTTGGGCATTATTCCATTGTGGGATAGAAACCTGGCTTAAATCTTCACTAAAGACTTGTTAAATGTCAAGTGATAATCAGACGTGTTCCTTATTGCTTGTTTCCGAGTTTTGTGGACGCCTTAAGTAGTTGCCGACAGCTTTTTTTTTGGGGGGGGGGTTATTTCTGCAATATTCTGAATGTTTTTGGTTATATTTTCAGGTTTATCAGTATCTTATTTCTGGTAACTCTTCCTCAACATCATCAGATAGAAGTTTGGAAGAACTTCCCCTTCCCTTGTGCAGCCTTTATGCTTCCACGAGCGGAGAACCGCCATTTACAAACTGCACCCCTGATTTTACAGATACACTTGACTATGTGTTCTTTTCCCCATCTGACCGCCTAAAGCCTGTCAGCATTCTCCAACTTCCAGAGCTGGATTCACCTGATGTTGCTGGTGCATTGCCAAATTATAGCCACCCAAGTGATCATCTGCCAATTGGTGCCGAATTTGAAATTTCCAAAGATTAAAATGCTTGATCCGAAAACCCGTTTAGCAGATAAACCGAACCTGTTTTGTTCGTTGCATTATTTTCTTCACCCTTTATCATTATTATTATTATTATTGGAATTCATTGACTTTCTGATTTGTTTTAAAGCCTGTAAAAGAATCGACAATAACAAAGTAGACAATTTTTTGTTTTGGAATTGGAATCTGTGTGATCATTAAGTTGGGTTTCTACTGGAATTATGTCTGAGTAGAGCGAAGTACCATGCCAAATTGGTCATTTGATCATGCAATTGTAATATAGTAGAGTGCAATGGCAACGTTTTGCAGATATAAGGGAGAACCAAAGGAAAGATGATTCATCCACTAGGTCATTACATAGGATTCATAATAGGACGTAGTTGCCGAGGTGTTGTGGCATGGGGTAATTACACTTTTTTTTAAGACATGTCTAATAGAATATGTATTAGTTTATCTTTTTTTCTTTGTGATGTGGGATTATTATCCTACGTCTTTTTAAGGTGTGACATTCTTTCTCATTAAATCTTATGACGTTATAGTCACATTGTTTTCATGGTTGTTCACCTTATCTATCCTACCTATTGAGGTGCTCGGCATGAAATTGAGTAGTAAAAGGTCCGATATTACTTGTCATGAGTTATTATCCTTTTCTCAAAAGATATTTTTGATAAGTTGTGCGACATTATCATTTTTAAATTCTATGACTTTCCTTTTTGATATGGGATATACCTCTTTAAGACGTGGCAAATGAATGCTTTTTCTCGGTGCTATTCATAGTGATATTGTATAGAATATTTTATTTGAAAATGGTGAAGGTGCAAATACACCCTGTGCCTTTAACCCAAACTTATTAAATAAGGTAAACAATGAGCAGAGCAGCACTTGCGTTATGTAACGGCTCATACAATCGTGGGATTTCATGTTATTTTTGCGGCTATCATCATCAAATGAGTACACTCTACCGGTAATGGACTCTGACTCTGATGTAGCTAATGGAAGTCCGTCAGCACCACTATAAACGTCACGTATATCTTGGCATCCCAAGATCATGGAATAACACCCTTCTCTGTATTCTGATCTTTAACATACATGATTTCATCACTCCACAAATATAACAGTACTCCCATTTGACTCTTTGAATTTTTCTTGTAAGCAATGATTAATGGTACGTGTTCTTTTACATCATCATCCATTCAACCATTGCTTCCTAGCATTCTATATAAGGGATTTGTAATGTCTTATATTTGAGTTGCCGAGAGATTGGGGGGGGGGGGAGGAATCCGAAAGAACAAAGATTGGAAGTAAAGTTGCGGAGAAAATGCGTAGTGAAAGCTGAGTGTAATTCTCCCTCCGCGGAGCGTCACCGTAAACTTACACTTTCAAACCTTGATCTTCTCTCCGGTCGTTTTCCCGTTACATACTTGTACTTGTATTGTCACAGCAGGTCGAACGGAGATTTGATCGATAATAGCGACACCTTCTTTGAGTCGCTCAAGACTTCTCTCGCCAAAACTCTAAGTTATTACTACCCTTTTTCGGTCGAATCGTTGAAGATCCGCAGACAAACCGGAGTTTAATCATATGTGACAATGGTGGTGCACTTCTACTGGAGGCGCTCGCTAATATCCCTTTGAGTTATGTTGATTGCTACAATTTAAACCAGACCCTTGAAGGGATAGTTGTGCCCTGCCTCGACATCGACGAGTTTCCGTTTCCCTTGCAGGTCCAAGTAACGTGTTACACTTGTGGAGGGATGTCCATCACTTTCACATTCGACCATGCTCTAGGTGATACCACTGCTTTCGGGAACTTTCTATCTTCGTGGTCCTGACTAGCTCGAAACATGCCTCCCTCATGCATACCAGAAAAACCAACATCTCGCTTAAGCGCCTTTACTTTGTTGACGCCTCTAGCATCAATCACCTGCAAACTCTTGCGTCTGTCAATGGTAACAAGAGAACGAAGATCGAGGCTTTCTCTGCTTATATCTGGAAGATTATGGCAACCAGCATTGAGGAAAGCCACGCCAAGTGCAAGATGGGTTGGTTAGTTGACGGACGTGGTCTTAGCTCCATGCTCCATGTCGAATTACATCGGTAATGTCTTATCCGTGACCACCAAAGAGGCAGGCATTGCCAAAATAAAGCAGGGCTCCATGTCGGACATTGCCGACATCATTCACGAGGCCATATTGAAGGCGACTAATGAAGCTCATTTCCAGGATTTGATTGATTGGATAGAATGCCACAAGCCTGGATTGATGCTCCCAAGATTCGTTCTAGGTCAGGAAGGGCCTGCTGTAGTTATCTCATCGGGACGTAGATTTCCAGTTGCCGAACTAGACTTCGGGTTTGGTACCCCTGTGCTAGGAACAGTCTCGACAACCATAAAAAACAGTGTTGGCTACATGAACCAGAGGACAAGTGCTCGGGGTGATGGCTCGTGGGTCATTTCGTCTATCTTATGGCAACAACTAGCGGCAGTATTAGAGTCGGATTCGGTTTTACAACCCCTACGTGCATCACATCTTCAAAAAGTACAATAATGTCTCCAAACAGATTGAAGGATTTAACATGTGAAGATTCATTGTAAAACATCAACTAGTAAATATGCAAGTAAAATATAAAGACTAAATTTTTAAATAATACAAGAACAACCACCACATGTGTCTGTCAGAGGATTGGCCGTCAAAGGTCTTATTTATACGCTATAATTGACCAGAAATTTATGTTTAGAGAATGTAAGTTAATCGGAGGTCAGTTAGAGCGGTTTCTGAAGGTCATCTCTGGAAATATAACAAAATTAAATAATGACGTGGTGGAAAGAACAGAAAAATGATCTATTGACTATGAATTTCACGTAGCATCGCAAAGTCAAAACTCCATTTTACTCAAAGTTTTCTCAACTTGATCAAAACGTAAGTGGGAAATTCCATAAAATCGAATACAATTTTCGCTTTTCTGACTCGATAAACCTACCAACAACCGCGTTACCTCTTCTCTGCTCATTGTTAACAGCTTCAGGATGTCTCTAATACAAGGGAAAAATGCTTGAGGACGAGCACAAAATGGTTGGAACACAAGGAACAATGCTTGCATATCAGCTGCAACCCGATTGCTTCGCTTCCTCGAAAACCGATCTTCACTTGCCAAAATGCTACCGCACATAAAATGGTCCAGCCCCTCGGCCACACTTCGCCACAAGTCCAAGAAGTCTTTTCGATTAAGATTCTTCATAAGAACATGAAGATGATTCTTCAAAGCATGCAATGCTTCAACAAGAGAATCGGATATAGCCGATTCTCCGTTTGGTGTTGTATTCTGGTCTTCATCGATAGTCCTCACAATGGTTGTATTCCGAAATTAGATTCTCAAACTGACGAAGAAGAACAGCAACGATTTCCATAAGCCCACACAAGTCCAGAAGTCTTTTCGATTAAGATTCTTCATAAGAACATGAAGATGATTCTTCAAAGCATGCAATGCTTCAACAAGAGAATCGGATATAGCCGATTCTCCGTTTGGTGTTGTATTCTGGTCTTCATCGATATAGTCCTCACAATGGTTGTATTCCGAAATTAGATTCTCAAACTGACGAAGAAGAACAGCAACGATTTCCATAAGCCAGTTGGTCTCTAGTTCAGCCAAGCATTTTATTTCCTCTCCAAAGAAGCAATCAGCAGTAACACATTTGTCTTTTTCATGCATGTTAGAATCGTTTTCAGCAATTTTCATCTCCAAGAAACTTGCATCATCGCTCCATTCTTGCAGTTTAGACTCGACATATCTAGCAGCATTGATGGATTCACATGCTATAACCAACGCATTACCATCAAGATTTTCGGGAGACAATTCAGCATTTTTACAATGCAGCAGTAGTACATTAGAAAAATACCAGAAGAAACTGGCTGCAGTTGATCTTACAAATTTGGAACGTGCCGAAAGAACTGGCAAAGTTTGGCATCTGTCGGTCATTTCTTGTGCGATTTTAAGTGCAGATTCCGCAACATGTGGAGCTTTATGGGCTTCTCTAGAAGAAAGCAAAAATGCTTCACATGCTGTACTAACATCAAAGTCAACTCTATGCTTATCATCAATTTGCCAAGCTTTAGCATCCTTCAGTACTGCTTTTAGTTTCTTCCAGCCATCCTTGAGCTCCATCTTTGCCCAAATCTTAAGCCAATCTGGTCTATCACAAAATACTATTAACACTGACATCCCTCTTGAATGCTTGCTATAACTTTGAGTATCAGGAAATAAGAGATAAGTTTCATATCTCAATAGTGATTGCATCTGTATATCGAAACCAACAATTAGATCAACTAGATTAAGCCACAATGAGATAACTTCTAATTTCATGTCTTTCTCTTTGTATCTTTCAGCCAAGGTAGGAAAAACATTTTTTGTTAAGAACCCAGAAAGGATGCGCACCATTGCAGAAACCCAAGCTTCATTAGCACTATAGCTCGTTAATCTGGCTGCATCAATCAAAGGCTGCAAAATATCACTTACTCCTTCCATAAAGTTCCTGGTTACTCTATACACAAGAGCAAATATAAACTCAGGCTGCTCCGTCCATTTCAAGAAGTGATATTCCATTCTTTCAGCTAAAGGAGACACCAGTTCATCAATAGCCCAAAGCCGTATCTCACACTCCTGTTGACCTAACGTTTTGAACTTTCGAGCTTCTCTACGTGTGTGCAGTTTCTGCAAAGCACAAAGCAGGTGAAAACTTTGAGCATAAGACTTCTTTTCATCTCCATGCATTAAAAGTAGTGGGTTCGGGAACTCGGGGACCCCTCCACTTTCAACTTTTGATGTTAGATGTTTAGGAGGCCACCCTAAAGAAGCAAGAAGAGCACGGTGTTGTGCAAGAACTTCTGGTCGAAGTACAGCCAAAGTTTTATCCACTCTGTGATCAACTGAAACTAAAAGGTGGTGCCATCCTCTAGATTTCTCAACATTGACAATTGTCTCCTCAATATCATTCATGGCTTTTATGGCTTGATGTGATCTTTCTTCCTTTACTACAAGCTCCTGCACAGCAAGATTGTCTGGATATAATGTTGAAGATGCATTTCAAAAGAATAGGGGAAAACAGGATCAGAGTAATTACTTGTGATGTCAGTGAAGTTGAAAACTTTGTGAACATATTCCCTGTAAGGTGATTCCCCGAAGAGAAAACAACGTCCTCAAGATCTCCTACCAAGGCTTCTAACCTAAGAGTGGTTTCTGTCATAGTTAAGAGCGAGGTAAGCTCATAGTCTGGTGGCATAGTGTGTATGACAATAAGAACAAAGAAAGACAAACATATTTTAAAAGCAGAGAAACGATTGCACATTAAAGCTACAAAGTAGGAAAGTGGTTATGAATCTAAACCATTTGATTAAGAAATTCTCCATCCTTCATACCAAGTAGAGCCTAAGATCTAATAACAAAGAATATGCATGATCAACAATCACCCAATATTCTAAAATTTTAGGCAATAAACTGTAAGTATTAGTGCATTAGTTGAGCATTCTCATTCTGAAGCTGAATGAAATCACTTTCATTACTTTACAGCAAGTCTTTCCTTTCCGATTTGAAGGCAGGGATGGACCTAAGGGGCTGCTGGAGGGGACAGTTTACCTTTGGAAAATTTTAAATTCTCATATAGTTTAAGTATTTCCTTTATATTTTGTATTGATGATCTAATTTTGCTTCTCTAAAATTTTATAATTTCACACTTCTAAACTTAAGTATTTTCTTTATATTTTGTATCGATGATCTAATTTCGTTTCTCTTAAATTTTATAATTTCGTAATCCTAAATTTTAATATAACTTTTTAAGGTCAGCAACATAAAATGCTGCATCCATGTGAATAGGCAATTGAAGAAACTTGCATAAAGAAGCGAACGCAGCGTCATAGAGTGCAACACTAAACAAACCCAGTATTACGCAGAGAAATTAAGGAGACGAATGAATAGTCTGGAAGTTATCTGCTTGGAATTATTGCGATAAGGTCAAAAAATACGCTGACCAACATATTGGCGGATGGTGTGAATTCGGTGCAATTGAAGGGCAAGCCGGGGCAGCTCTTCAACCAGAAGCCTCTGCAAAGCAGTCCCATCTGCACACCCCAAATAAACTCATATCAAAAAGCGAGCGCGAGAGAGATGAAGCAAAATCAACCAACAAAATTTATGCAGAGCGCTAACAAGGACAGGAAGCGTTGAGGGTGAGCTTGAGATTTGCGAGGGAAGCTTTGGCTCGAAAAGAAGGAGAGATCCACGAAAGGGTGAGCTCCATGAGGGTGGTTCGGAGGTGTAGCAGACGATTGTCGCAATCAGAACAATGTTTGGTCCATTCCGACAACAGACAAGAACAAGAAGTAGAAGATGAAGAAACATCTTTCTGGGTCTTGAAATGTTGGTCCAGATACTCTGACTGTGATCTTCGTAGCTTGCCAACTTCCGGTAGAACTAGATTTTGGGGATCCCATCCTTCCATTACTCTCAGTTTTCACTGGATCCTCAGTTCAAAACATTCACAACTGATACTATAATAATATAATATAACTCCACCAACTCACCTCTCCCAAATTCTCTCTCCCTCGAAGAAATTTCAGTTTTTTTCCCCTAAATGAAATAAACAAAAACTGCATTCCACTGCTTTGGGTTCACCCTTTTTGGGTCTAGTTTTTTTCCGGTCCATCAACGGATACTATTGTGAATTTATGATTAGAGAAGAGCATAGGAGCAGTCAGATTTTGAATAGATCTAATTTTATAAAATTATTTTAAAAAAATTATGTTTGAACGGACACGAGCTTAGTTTTGAGACAAAAGTAAATAAATCTTGAGTAAATGTATGAAATTGTCGAATCGAAATTAAAACGACCAAAATTCAATTTTACTATTTATCCTTAATTACGACATTTCTTTCAATGAAATATTTTAATTATTAAGTAACTCTACTAAAATGACTGATATATAATATTTAAATAATAAATTAGTTCAAATTTGACTAAAATTATATTAAATTAAATTTATATATCATTAATTGTTGAGTGAGCTTGTTCGTGGTAGTATAACCTTGGAAACTTGTCTACAATATACTAAAGATATACACAAAATGTATCGTTTTTTATACAAAGAAACAATCTCTCATATGTCAATGCCATCTTGCTTGCCGTGAACATGGAAGCTGCATATTCCTCTGGTGGCTTTCCCCTTCGTGCTAGCCTCGTTGGTCCTTCTCTCACCACCTCCTCCAACGCTTCCACCAACGACTCCACGTTAGGCGAAAACATGAACCCGAACTCAATATTGCCTTTGATGCTGGGGAATCTTGATGCAACCACTTCTTTCCCGCTCATCATTGCTTCCATCAGCGTCAGATCCAACCCTTGAGGCCTCAGCGCCGGGTTCACGAAAAAATCAATCGCATTGTAAAATGAGGTCAGTTCGGATGAGCTCATAGAACCGAGCACTTGTATGCGAGGGCCTAATTCCTTGTATTGGTTGTCCCACGGTCCCGTCCCCGCCACGATCAAATACACATGAGGGTGCTTTGTTAATTTCCCTTGGATTGCATCTTGGCAGAAGTGGTATCGACTATCGACTCCCTTAACCCCTTAACAATCGTTATTGCATTCTAGTGATATATGCTTTATTTCATTCGTTAGCAACCGTTATTGCATTCAGTGATTTATGCTTTATTTTATGCCCCCCTGTAAATAATCCCTCGCTATTATGTTTTGACGGTTAGTGTGTAGACATCAGAGATGATACTTTGAATTTGATTCTCCAAATCTGTTGGCACCATGTCCAGTTTGAACCCCTTACTAACCATATTGCTTTCCAATGATATATGCTTTAGTTCATGTCCCATAGTAAATAATGAACTGGACTTGTTGATTCAATATTCTTGGGAAATAATCCTACATTATTATGTTCTAACAAGTGGCTAGGAGACATCAGAGATGAAATTTTGAACTTGATTGAGACTGTATGTTTTTTGTTGGACAGCAATTAATTTTAATGATGCATAAGACTTGTCCCTGTTTTCCTGTTCTGTAATTAAAAGGGATAAGTTAAGCAATTGACTTGTTCTTGGTCTTGAGTGATTTTTTATGAGTTTCTCTTTGAATCTGACTAATCCGTATGATGATACAGGTTATTCCTGACTCGCTTGCTGGATTAAAAAACTTGAGGAGCTTAATGTTTCCTCGATTCTTCTGCAGTCTCTGCCAGGCTCAATTGGATTGCTACCGAAATTGAAAATATTGGATGTCTCGGGAAATAAATTGAATGCCTTACCTGATTCCATTTGTCAATGCAGGTAATTGTAGCTTATCATTATAAAACAAATTGCTCTTGGTCATTATCATCACTAAAATTTGGTTTTCATCAATTCAGGTCTTTGATAGAGTTGGATGTGAGCTTCAACTCCCTCTTGTACTTGCCAACTAATTTTGGGAATGAATTGGGGAATCTACAAAGGCTTTCAGTTTATTTGAACAAACTCCGGTCCTTGCCAACTTCTATTTGTAAGATGAGATCTTTGCATTTTCTGGATGGCCACTTCAATGAACTCCGTGGTCTTCCGGATGAAATTGGTAGATTGGCAAATCTTGAGGCCCTCAACGTGAGGTGCAATTTCTCTGATATGACAGAACTTCCTGAGTCACTCTGCGAATTGATCAATCTCAAAGAGCTTGATATCAGTAACAACCAAATCAATGCCCTTCCTGATTCATTTGGTCGGCTTGACAAGCTGACAAAACTGAATTTGGATCAAAATCCTCTTGTAGTTCCACCTAAGGAAATCGTAAACCAAGGGGTTGATGCTGTGAAGATTTTCATGGCGAATAGGTGGGCTGACAAACTTGCTGAGGAAGAAAGAAAGATCATGATGGAAGTAAATGAAGTACAAGGGACTGGGTAGTTGACACGAAATGCCTCTTTCTTGAAGAGCTATGCTTCAGTTGTTGGTAGTACTGTATCAGGGTACATTGGACCTGCTGCTCCCAGGGACCCAGTTCTGGATGAGGAGCGATGATTTCAGTCACCTTCAATTTACTTCCAATTTCAGTTATTCAACTTTTTCCTCAGCTTTCCATAATCTTCAATTCCAGCTTTAGGTGAGGCCAGGATTGAAAAGGCAACAGATTTTGTTCTTGTTCTGATTCAAATGAGAGTTTTGCAGGAAAATTAATTGCGAAGACTCTCGATATATTATCGGGGGGGGGGGTACCTTGGAGCGCCTCCTCGTCGGGACCAGACCCTACTCTGGAAGAGGAGGGCTGATTTCAGTGCACCTTCAGTTTGCTGTCAATTCCAATTATCCAAGCTTTTCCTCAGCTTTCCTTGAGCCAGGGTTGAAAAGCTAACAAATTTTGTTCTTGTTTGATATTTGAGATTCTGGATTGCAAGAATAAATTGGAAAGAACCTTGTTATGCATTGCCCAAGTGGTTGCATTTTATTTTATTCAATTTTTTGCTGCAGAAAAACATGTATGTTTTTTTGTTTTTATTAGTTGTGGATGTTTATTGATAATAATAATGATGCAATATATATTGTGTTAAAAGAAAAACATGGAATGATGCTATGGTAGAAGCCCTTGAACTAAACTCTCTCTCGCACTGCCCATGAGATATGCCATTGTTGAAGATATCCATACCCTTTTGTTTCAAATGTTCAGTTTTCATGCCAAATATGCCGTTTACCAATGAACCAAACCATAAAGACACTGGTTCCATATGCATACAAATCAAAGTAGGACTGTGTACAAAATTCGACTCGGAGAAATTAATTTTTATTTGACTCGATATTAAAAGATCTTACTTGAAAAATTTTTAATAAATAAAGTTCGAGTTATAAAATAATACTTATCAATTCAATTAATTTAAAATCTTTTGATTCAATCAAATATTCACTCTTAATTTCTTGTCCCCTTCCAACTGGCCCCACTCTCTTCCACGCCAAGAATGTTACGTCCACCTCTCCTTTATCACGGGCGTGCCGACTACTGCCAACTTACCCTACACATTTCTCTTTTTCGGATCAAATATACTTTTTCTGTGTATATGTATATATATGTATATATATGTATAAAGTCGTTGAATACTTGTTATATACTATGAATTACGGTATGCTTAGTTATAATCATTTGAATCACATACATATATACTATATGATATAAGAGTGAGCATATCTTAGTTAGATCATTAGCATTGAAAAGCTATTACATGTATCTTTAAGGTCATTGGCAACACATTTTTGGAAAGTTAAATGGATCTATTTAAGGACCCATCAAAACATGGAGAGTAACTTCAACTAAGGATGGATTTAAAGGGGTTGGGCACTATCATATTTTTAAAAAACTTCAAATCCGCATATAGTTTTTTTTTAAAACTATCATATTTTTAATTTATACCATTAAAACTGTAATATAATTTTTTAAATTCGTATTTCTAACTAAAATCTTGCATCTGTTGTTGACTTAAAGTATTAATGATAACAGCAAAACCAAAAGGAAGTGATTGATGTTTGTAGCCCTTAGTGGGAGAAGGTTTAGAAAAGAGTCCCCAGCTTTACTGCACCAAGGCTTTGGCTTTCCTACATCTCTGCAAAGCGCAAGGTGCACATGCGTGGGCACGCGGGAATCTAAGATTACCCTTCGTACATACATTTACGCTTCCTCAACTCGGCTGCTCCACCGGAATCATGTTCTAGGGTCCCTCACTTCTCACTCCTCGCCACCCACCTCTATTTATACTTTCTCTACTTGCTACATACATTTGTGCACCATCATCATCTTAATCATTCTTACTAGAATGTAGACTCCCCACGGTAAACGGGAATGATCTATGCTTTTCACTAAGCATCATCGTCGACGACGTCGCCGTCTTTATTGCGGTTTGCATGCATGCAGCTGGAGGTAAGTTTCTGTTTTCATCTTCGAGACTGATAGCTAACTGTTTGTTCAGTGAAGGTTAACATGGAAAATTGGTGAGCGTCATCCATCCATGCATAGGGGAATCAAGCGTTTCTGGTCCGATCCACATGCAATAATAGATTATCTGTTTTGATCATTCTTTCTAATCACTTCACACTTTAGCCATCCTGGCCTTTCTTACTTTCTTTACCAAATTTACCATGTTCTAATTAGGGTATAAAGTATATCTGTATATGCATTAGTAGCGTATACAAAAAGAATGCTGTTGAATCATTAATAATGGCGAATGGAGCTGATGTTTCAGGCGCAGGCGGCTTTAAAAATGTAAGAAACGCGTGTTCAAGTGCTTAATAATGTAATAGAGGTTCCATTTCTGTTTCCTTAATTTGTGCGTTTTGAAGTACTCTTTCACGGTTCATTAACTCAGTGTGCATAATCCAACGGGCTGTTTCAGAATTATTAAAGAAATAGGAAGAAGAGAAGTTAGAGGGGAAGAGATGTATGTTTGGCTAAAACTCGATCACGGCACTTCATTAAATCTTAGCCTCTTTTTAACCCAAAATCAACAATTACAATTAGTATATGTTTAAAGACTTAATGATTTGACATTGATCGCTTATACACTCCTATATATATATGTAGTACTCAAATCCAAGACCTCAAAGAGTAACAGTAATTCGTTAATCACCTTTGGTTAGTGCTACAGTACTGATTTAAATAACCCAAAACACCGATTCTGTAATGTAGAACAAGTGCCTCCTTACTATCTGTTTCAATTATAATCTCCTTCATGTTCAAGCCCCATGCAATCTTTAAACCCTTGTAAATGCCCTGTAACTCAGCCTTCCTCTTTGGATATGTGCATCACGACCCAAAGAACAAGCCTTCCTCTTTGTTACCGCACGCACAGCTTCCAAAAGCATACGCCTACTAACCTGTAAAACACTTTCAAAAAGCACATCAGGTTGAAAAATCATTTTATTACTCCGAGTCCACAGGCACCATAAAATTGCCCCAAAAAACAGGCCCCAATCTTCATCATTGTTGGGGAAATGGCACTTGGATCGCAGAGTCCACAAAGTTCATTTCCATTCACCATTAGCATCTAAAATTGAGGGAATTAACGCATGTTTTCCAACCGTTAACCCTTGGTCAATGCGTTGATCCCAAAGGGGACCCAAGTCACCCAACCAAGTATCATTCCAAAATTCGATAGTTGCACCATCTCCCAAGGTCCACACAAGGCCTTCTCGAATACTCTCCCACACCGTACTTACCTCCATCCACGAACATGAACAATCATTGCGATGAACGAATTGAGGCACCAAAACATGCATCTTGTATTTAGCGCGCAAGACTTTCAGTCATAGTTGATCTTTATTGGAGATAAGGCGAAAAGCGATTTTCATAAGAAAAGCTTCAATTTGTGCTTGCAATCGTTTCACCCCCAACCTACCCGTACTTTCCGACAAACAAACCCACCCGGTCGACAAGGTTAACTCTACGGTTATCATCGGAACAACCCCAAATAAAGTTGTAAATAAGGTATTCCATAACCCCCTTAAGAAGATAACAGGTTTTCATGGTATAGGATGGTAAGGCGGCCAACACAGACATTGCTAAAGTGATGCGGTCAGCCAAAGGTAAATGCTTTGCCTTCCAACCAGCCAAGTGATCTCGAATTTTTTGAATAATTTACTGGTAAGTAGTCTTAGTTACACGACTATTCAAAAAAGGAACACCAAGATACCTGCCAAGATCATCTACGAGAGAAAACTAAAAGTCGTTGCTAATAACATCACAAAGGCATTCACTATGACACATTCCTTGAGAAATAAATATATGTCCTGGCCAGATTAACTCTATATCTTGAACTGTCATAGAAATCAGAGATGATTCTCTGAATAATAACAAGTAGAGAAACAGAGGCCTCCGCGAAAAGTACGAGATTATCCGTAAAGAATAAGTGGGATAGAGGAGGGCTATTATGAGATAATTTAATTGGTTTCCACAACCCATCCTCTACCGCGCCATTAATAGCTTGAGTTAGACGCTCTATACAAAGTAGAAAAAAATAGGACGAAATTGGATCACCTGTTATATTCCCCGAGAAGGTTTAAATTCATCCAAAATGATACCATTCCATAGAAGTTGAGTAGAAGCAGATGAGGTAAATCTCATGATTAAAGAACGAAGATCCACCGAATACCCCACATCAAGTAAGGGGTCATTAATAAAGGATTATTCAAGCTGGTCATACACTTTCTTAAAATCAACCTATATTGTGGTGCAATTATTTCTAAAATGATGTTAATATTACAGACTTCATTGTACTGTTAATATGGTGAAAAATACTATTAGTATTAATGATTTTTCCCTTGATAGCATGGGTGGGCGTCGGAAAACATATATTATTGTAACATACAATTGCTATAAAATTAAGAATGAGTGAACTTGTTCATTAGATGTAAAATCTTAACTCCTAGCGTATAATTTTATATTAAGGGATAAATCTTTTCTATTATAAATGTATATTTTTATATTAAGGGATATAAATTTGGGTAAACTACAGGGTGACCAGCCAACTATGGTAAAAAATCAATTTGACCATCGAAGTTTCGATTGAATCAATCAGACCATCGAACTATTTAAATGGTTCAATCAAGTCACCTGCCGTTAGGGGTGTGCAAATCCGGGTACCCAGAACTTCCGGGTCGACGATTTCTCGGCCCGTGTCCCGACCAGGATGTTACGGGTACCCGATAATCGGGTACCCGATACCCGGTTTTTAATTTTTTATTTTCAAATTAATAATTTAAAAAAATATATATACACAAATTTAAATGTTCGAAACTTCGAATTACATACTCTAATATCCGAACATAAAATTTAAAAGTTCGAAATACAAAATATAATAATCCATAATATAAATAATTCATTATATTTTATATAATTATATATAAAAAATAAAAAATAATAAAAACTAACCGGTTACCCGACCCGGGAAATGTCGGCACGGGTACCCGACCCGGTTGGGTAATTTTTTTTAGAGAATTACCCGGTTTTTTAAGATCCGGGTCGGCGGGTCGATAGGTCGGGTAATTTTGCACACCCCTACCTGCCGTTAGTTTTTAACAGAGATGGTGACGTGTCACCACCTTATTAAAGTGAGAAAATAATGAATGAAAGTGCACCCATATGGAATTGAACTTAGGTCACCCATTTAGCCAATGATTATTTATTTTATTAAAAATTTAAAATATAAAAAAACTGTAAATTAATAAAATTAAGATTTTTTAATCTAATAAATAATTATAATTTACAATTTTTTATATTTTAAATTTTTAATCAAATAAATAATTATTGACTTTTATTTATTAATTATAATTTATAATTTTTTATATTTTAATTTTTTTAATCAAATAAATAAATATTGATTTTATTTATTAATTATAATTTAATAGCTATATATAATATTAAATTATAATTAACAAATAAAAATTAAAGATTATTTTTTATTAATAAAAGTTATGAATTATTTCTTCCATTAATAAAAATTAAAAAAATATTTTTTTATAAATTATATTCAAATATATGATTTAACTTTAATTTAATCCTTTATCCCAATTTGCATTTTTATTTCTTCTTTTTTTTTCTGTCAGTAAATGAAATAAACATGTTGTGATTTGGAACTAAAAGGGGACTTGGTACAGTGGTTTAGGCCTAACCTTGGTTAAACGGGTGACCTAAATTTGATTCCATCCAGGCGCACTTTCACTCATTATTGGTAGATAAATAAATATATTACATAAATAAAAAATTAAGAAAATATGCTCAAATTAGGTAATGACATGTGTCACCATTTAATTGGAGATTAAATTTATTCTAATTAAAATAATTTATATCCAAAATGATAGGATTTATAAATATTAAGGACCAAATATATAATTATGCCATTTTTATTAACGGACACGTCATCATCTCTGTTAAAAACTAACGATATGTGGCTTGATTGAACCATTTAAATAGTTCGATGGTCTGATTTATTCAATCGAAACTTCAGTGGTCAAATTGATTTTTAACCATAGTTGGGTGGTCACCCGTGTAGTTTACCCTATGAATTTTTAAAATTTTATAATGGAGATTTTTTTTTATAGAAAATATAAATAAATTATTAATAAAAATATAGAGATATTTAAAATATAAAATAATTTGAAAATTTTCAATACAATTGTGGCCCCTTCAGTCCATCCATGCAGTCCCTGGTAAAGGAAAAGAAACGTGGGAGTTAGGCATCAAGCTATTTTCAAACAAGGGATCTTCTTCATCCGTTCTCCTGGCCCCATTTCAATTAAGGACAATGGGCTACTCGACGTCACTGCTCACATTCTGACTGTCCCATCACTACTATTGCCGCTCTGCGTTTCTGCAGGAAACATTCAACTTAAGGACACGACACTCCTCCCATGGAGCACGTTACTTGTTCGACTTAATGTCTCCGTAACAGTAACAACCATCAAACCCAGCTCATCTACGTTCCTCCTGACTTGTAGCTGAAAACCCAACAAACAAGAGAGAAAGAGCTAAAGACTAGACAAGTCCAAAAGAGATGTGGAGGCGCGTGGTTTCGCTTTCTTCTTTCATCTCATCCTCCAGAACATCCTTCGTTGCACAGGTCCCGAATTCTCTTCCACCTCTTCCCCTTTTCAATTCAAAATCAATACTAATTCATAAAACTTTTTTTTTATCTTGATTTCGTTCTTCTCTTCTTTTAGTTTACTCATTCATCGTTTTAAATAATCGTTTGGTTGTTGCTGTTTTATAGACGGCGTCCAGACTGAACACTTGTGAATCGTTAACGACAGGGATCGCCCAACAGGTATTCGATTGTCGAACTGATTATCGTGTCTCGTTGCATTTCAAATTATGTTAGGCTTGGACAGGTTGAATCTTTAAAACTGACCGATTCTTCACCCTAAAAAAGGGCCCTAATTTATTAGTTGATTTAAGGGTATGCTGTTATATTTTTCTTTCCTTTCTTTATGTGGATATTACCTGGGAGGGGAAATGTAGATTCCTGTTACATTGCAGCTTACTTTGAGAAACCTTCTTCTAGTTTGGATAGATCAACATAAATATGTTAGATGGAGATGATGCCAAAGCATTTAAAATGTTTCCTGATGTTAGTCGTGTATCAAACTACCTTATGTTTGGTATGGATAGTTTAAACCCGTGTTCTGTCCGTAAATAAGATTAGTTTAGAATTCAGTGTACCAATCTTATTTCCCTAGAATTTCAACTTATTCAGTCGTTTCAAATTTATTTACATTTTAATCCTTTTTTTACTTTCGTAGGTTTTGTTAATTTTGCAATAGTAAATATTCCGTGATATATTCTTAAAATGAATTCTTTTTGTTGGTTCATAATTATCTGCATGCAGGCAAAAGGTGTTATAGCCCCCAAAGAGAAAACTCCATTCATAACTTTTGTCCTAGGTAAATCTTGTGCATTGCTAGCTTGAGCAAACGATGCACCGTGCTTCCTTTATATACTATCACTCAAAATCACATTTATGCGCTTTGTCTTATGTTTTCGCTTTGAAAGCTTGGGATGTTTTGCACCATTTTAAATCCTATTTCTCCTTAAAGTTCCTTTCTCTTGTTTTGATATATTCATGTTTTAGATTCCCTTATTTGGAAAAGAAAAGAAAATTGTAGTTGCAAACTATACACATCCGGTATACTTGATTCTTTGCTTAACCAAAGGAGAGATGTCTTCTTACCTAGCTTGATTCATTTGGCTTTTTAAGTACAGTAAAACAACATGGGTTACATGATCCATAAAATCATTATATGATTTGGTTAACCATATTATATGTCAGTTGGCATTTTATTGTATGGTTAGTACGCATTGATACTTGAGGTTGATGTACCACTGCTACAAACCTTTTGATAGATCACAATGCCTATTGCTACATTAAAGGGAACAATAATGTTGAAAACTATAGCCTGTTTACTTGTTTGAAGAGTATTTTGTACCCTACTTTCATTAAGAAGCAATTGTGACTCCAGGCTTTGGATACATTATGTGTGATTACGAAGTGTTTAAATAACATTGTTTGCTTTGTAAATATTTTTCTGAACCTTACCATTTATTCAGATTTCCCCCCGCATGCCTTTCAATTTTCAGGTGGTCCTGGTAGTGGAAAAGGTACTCAGTGTATAAAGATTGTTGAAACCTTTGGGTTCACACATTTGAGTGCAGGAGATTTGTTAAGAAGGGAAATAGCTTCTAACAGTGCAGATGGGTAATATTTTCATCATTGTTTATAGATCATATTGTTAAGTGACTATAGTAATTCATATCCTCTAATGATATATCTTTGATTTCAGTGCCATGATTCTTAACACAATTAAAGAAGGAAAAATTGTCCCATCACAGGTGACAGTCAAACTGATACAAAAGGACATGGAATCAAGTGACAATGACAAATTTCTCATTGATGGCTTCCCGCGTACTGAGGAGAATCGAGTATCGTTTGACCAAATTGTAAGCTTCTCACTTTTTTAACCCCTATTGACTTATGTGAAGAACTGTAAAAGAAAATTGACAATCTGGCGTCTGCTTGCCAAAGCTGTTTACTTGTGTATTTCCTAAAATTGTTTGCTTGTCGGGTTGAAGAAACTCACTGAAAGAGTTATATGTGAGAATATTTGAGAAATGATCTTTTTATTATTAATATAACTTTCCTATTGACATTTGCAGATTAGTGTAGAGCCAAATGTTGTACTTTTCTTTGATTGCCCAGAAGAAGAAATGGTGAAACGTGTGCTGAATCGTAATCAGGTACATATAGATTATTTTATGGCTTAATTTGAATCAAGTGACAACCATATTTTTGAAATGTGATGTTTTCTTATTGCAGGGCCGGGTTGATGACAACTTAGAAACAATAAAAAAACGCCTACAAGTTTTTGAGGCATTAAGTCTTCCAGTTATTAACTACTACTCTCAGAGAGGAAAGCTCTATACGGTATATATATATAATTGTCTCCTTTTGGGGCCTTATGTTTTTCCCTTTTTAGTTGATGGTTGCTTTCAAAGCATATCTAGTTATAGTAGGTGAAACAAAATACTTGCAGATCAAGGCAATTGGAACAGAAGATGAAATATTTGAACAAGTTCGTCCAATCTTTACTGCCTTTGAGGTATGTCCTGTGAGCACAATGATCCTTTCCATCCAGTTATGCTGATTAATTGAAACCAGAAAGCACCATTCCTTCATTTTTTTAAACTGTTTCATTTATATATATATATAAAAAAACATTTTGGAGTCTCCGTTACGTTTCTTGGCTACAAATAGTAAGTTTTGTTGATTTTATTTGTTTGCAGCTGCATGCTGCTGGATGAGGTTCTTGTGAAACAAGAACATCACAGAGACGAGAATAATCCTTTTTACCTTGTTTGAGGCTGAAGTCTTAAAGACCACCTTCAAGTTTCTCTAGTAAGACAGAGGAAAATGTGGTGGAAATCTGGTTTAGATAAAAGAGAAGGGTCTCCATTATGTACTGGTCTACAGTGATGAATTGAAGACAGACTATTTTTCTTTTTATATATTCACATTAGTCTGAAAGATCATTGCTACCTGAAAGCTCTCATTTTGATTTAATCTATCCCATTTAGTTTTTACTCAAATAACATGCAAAATTAAATCTTTTTCATGGAAATACTATCAAATTGAGCTCAGGATCGATCCGAGAATGGGACACTATGCTTGCATGATAAATCTTTATGGGAGAGCAGGACTGATAGATGAGGCTTTCAACTTGATAATGGAGAGAATGGAGATTGAGACAGGTCAAACTGTGTGGGGAGCATTCCTGTATGCTTGCTCGGTCCATGGAAATATAGTGATAGGAGAGATTACAGGTCGAAAACTTTTTGAGCGGCAGCCAGGTAACCGGCATAATTTCGAGCTATCGATGAAGATTTATAGGAGTGCAGGTAGGTGGGAGGCTGTGGAGAGAGTTAGACACATGATGCTGTAGAGAGGATAATAGAGTTAAAGCTGAAGCTTACTTCAAGAAACTGAAAACATGATACTAGTAGTAATATTAGACTGAGCACAGGAAGCATCCATTTCTACAACGTTTCCTCAAAAGGGAAAGGACGAATAAAGGCCGAATCCATTTCCCATATTTTGAGTGTGGCCTTCACATTTACTCCACTTGCATTGTTGAACAAGAATAGCCGAGCAGCTCCGTAGATGGCTTTCGTCGGATAAATTCTCGATGTTATCACCGTCCTCCCTCCTTGGGCGAAGCTCTCCACCACTGAATGATCCACCTGAGTCATTCATCATTGTAGTCAATGGTAAAAAAGTTTATCAACCAGCCGGAAGAATATTGATCTTCACTTACCAATACCCTCATATTGTAGTGCTCATCGTCAAGCACCGGAACCTTGCCACCATACACTCGTTTTAAGACATCGGAAGCTTCAGAAGACCTTGTTTCGTCGACACAAAAGTAAGTCTTAAGACTACCATCAGGTGAGCTAAGGGGACGGAAATATACAGGAGTCAGCTCTGAAAGTGAAACATCAGCAATAGCCAGGATTCCGAATGGCCCGTAAGTGCTTCTATCAACTGCGCCATCACCACAACCACCGACTTTGTCTGTGGTATTAGGTACCGACGACTCTATTCCGAACTCTGCTAATATATCTAACTGCATTAATTAATGGTTACAAGAAAAATTGATGATTAATAAGTGAAGAACTATTGGTTCATTTTAAAGAATGCTGGTCACATAACCTGAGTAGCGGTGCCTATGTCGAGGGGCACAACTGATCCTGCTTCAACTACAACCTCCTTGAACACTGTAGCATTCAGTCTCAAGCTCTCTACTTCTTCCACTGGCCATTGAAGTAAATGGGTTCCAGTCTTGTTGTCATACACAACAGTCCTGGGAATTGTCTATTAAAAGGCAGAAATAAAATAATATCAGGAATCGTATAGATGCATGCATGTATGTACAAGGATGTTCATGGATCGGTTTGGGTTTTTAGTGCAGACGAATCTAATAAAAAATTAAATCATTTTAGCCGCACTCGACTCAGCCCAGGTTTATAAGGGTCTCGCCTAACTTGAATCTCGACCTAAATATTTATATAAATATAAATCATTTTTATTAGATAAAATATATATTTAATTGAAAAATAAAATAGAAAGGGTTATTATAATAATTATCGCTAAATATAACTTGAATCCCTCATTATAATACTTTTCGGATAGAATTGAGTTATATTTCTTTCACCTTAAACCCGAACTTGACTCGATCTCACTTTTAAAAATTTTGACCTGACCTAACCTGAACTTGATCCGACCCTACCTTAAAAAAATTGACCTAATCCAACTTGAATAAAAAATTTAAAATAAAAAACCAACTCGACCAAGTTAGGCTAAGTGAGAATCCATCATGTCCGAGTGAAATTGTTGTCCCTATGTATGCATACATGTATGTACCTGAAGAGAAGCCCATCCCTTTTTGAGGTCAGCGGTTTCAGTATCAGTTTCGTTAACCCAACCAAAAAGAATCCTCCTTTGTTTGTTCTGATCAAAAAATGTCTTTGAGGCATAGTATCTCCCATAATCCACCTTCAACCCGATGCCTACATCTTCTTCCGCGTTATCGGGCGTCCACTTATCCAATATCGGGTCATATGTCCCCAGTGCGTAATGATCTAACTTCGTGTCATCCAAACTAGCCTTCAGCACATGCTTAATTCCAGGCCCAATTGCCGACGTGTCCAACCCGACCGAACCGTTTATTGAAACCGGGTAAAAATCCACACATTCCCACATACCCGTCCCCGGAACAGCATGTAAGACCCCCTCCGATAATTCATAATCCTTAAAGTTTGTTGTTTGATAAACAAGGGACATTCCTATGGTGGAATTACACCTTGAGCCAACTGCAATCCGCCAGGAACCATCGGGTCCAATCCAAGCCGTTGTCGGGTCTCGGAACTCGTCGGATTCGATCCCGGTCGGGGGAACAATAACCGGGTTACCCGGGTACTTGAACCAATGAAGGAGGAGGGGATCAGAAAGGTTAGCAGGGTATGCAAGGTTCTGAACCTGCACGGACTCAATTGTGCTGCCGGTGTAAAGCATTACGATTCGGCCATCCGGTAAGAGCGTGGCGGATCCCGTCCATACACCGTTGATGTCGTACCATTGGTCGGGGACCATGGCAAGTGGGAGGTAGAACCAGTGGATGAGGTCGCTTGATACAGCGTGGCCCCAAGTGATGTTGCCCCATATTGCTGAATCAGGGTTGTATTGATAGAAAAGATGATACCATCCCTTGTGATATAATGGACCTGCAACCATCGTATTTTTAAATGTTAGTATGTCCGGAAGACGTTTGCAAAACTAGTTTGTTAGGAGTTTGGAGGAGTGCTAACTGACCAAACGGTCAAGGAACAATTTTTAACATTAGAATTTACATATTTCTTTATATGCTTTAAAGTAATTAAAACATTCATTTTTCTAAACAAATAATTTAAATTTTGATGTTATAAATAAATTTTAAAATATTTAATCTGAATTAATTGATTAATAAATTAAATACTAAAAAGTTGAACGTCCAAAACTTTTTTTTGTTACTATTCAGTAAGAATGCAAGGTTGGAAGTTGTCGCTGCTAATGATTTTATGCCTTTCAAATATATTTATTGCATTTACAAATACACCAAAATAATGAATTGTATTACTTAAATGTTATGATTAAGATTAAATAGTTTTGGCATCAATGATACAGACATATAACAATAAAAATGAATGATTGTAAGGACAAATGAAGTCGCATTTATGTTTACAAAAGGGTGTCAGTTGACAGTTGTAACTTCAATATTCTTCAAAGTTTCTTTAATAAATTCTATATAAAAATATTAAAAATAAAATTAACACGCGTTTTTTTTCTTAAAAATAGTATACATTAAAATTTTAATAACACAATCTAATTTTTTTTAACTATGTAACCGGTTGTAATTAAAAATGAAATTGTGAAGTTATGAGAACTCACCGTCAGGATCTGAAGCAGCCCAAACCAACGTATAAGAATTAGAGGTAAAAAAAAAAAAAGACAAGAACATTCGATTATTAGAAACCAAACATAAACTGGATATCATATGTCACTTGATTAGGTAGAGCCTTACCATTCATCCAATTCATTTGAGGCTGAAAGTGGTAGGCACTTCTCTGCCAGTAAAACATAGCGTTTGTCCAATCAAACCAAACCTTGTCCGAAAAACATGGATTCGACTTGGCCGAAACACCTTCGGCAATCCCTCTCAGTCTTGTCGAAGGTGACGCCCCAGTTGCTAATGTTTCTGGGTTTTGGTTACTGATTAATGTGAGGAGTAAGATTAAGAAAATGACGGAGCCAAATATTACGGAAAATCTCTGTAAGGGTCTCCGGTTCCTCCGAGCTCCGGCGAAGGAGGAGTGGTGTAGCAAGGTGGTGGCCTCCATTTTGGGAGAGGTTTTGTAGTTGGCTTTACTTGTGGAAGAGATGTCACAGTATATACAAGTAGAGAGAAATTAAGTGGAAAGTGGGTTAAAGAGAGAGAGAGGTTGGATTGGTGGTTGTCATTAGATGTGATAAGGTGAATGGCTACAGTGAAACAAAGAGGGACTGTTGGAACTAGGAAAGGTAATGCCATGACATGCACACGGCTCCACCTGCTGCTCAAACTTAGACGAACCTACCCTGCTTTGGCCTTTGGATTTAATCTCTTTATCTATCTATCTATCTATCTATCCAATTACACACTAATCATCTTTTGGTTTATATGAATTATATTTTAACTGATTTTACATCTAAATATTTATTTTTTAAGCTTTATTTACTCAAATTATTGGATTTCAGATATTATTTATTAAAATAGGGAGCTTATCATTCATAGTAAAACCTCGATATTTAGAGGCGGACAAAATTAGTGTATTAGCAAACGTTGACATATAGGAAGATATCATAATAAAGTAACCGATACCTTAGTAAGACGTAGTTATGGTGGATCAATTGGGAAAACGACTTCCAAATTTTGTATTGGATCATCTCCAAAAGGACATAACATGTAATAGTTGAAACTCTATGATCTGAAATGTACATGTTTTTTTGTTTAGTTTAGTTCCATCGAGGGGAAACAGGATGGAATGGTTGTTGAGATGAAACTACTCCTTTTGAATGTTTGTTAGGATCATATGGTCTTTCATTTCATGGCATGCCGTACTCAAATACATAGAAAAAGGTATTTCTATACTTGAAAGAATGAAAAACAAACAGTGTTGTTAACAATAAGAGAAGAGATAACGCTTATTCTTTTTCTATGTGCATTTTTCTTCTCTATGTTATTTCTTGTTTTCAGCGGCCACTCGTCTTCTTCCACGTCCCCAGTGATTTAAGAAATTCCATGACCTGAATGATCATGATTAATTTAAATAATCCAAACTATTCCAGAAATTTAAAATATATACATAAAAAAAAAAAGAAATGAAAATATTATGTACCTCTTGTGGATCCCTAAGGGAGAAGAATGCTTTACTCTCCTTGTGCACGGATGATACTAAAATGCCATATCCACAGTTTCCCTCTCTCAGAACCTTAAATGCATCTTCATCTGTCCGGTCATCTCCAACGTAAATGGGTAGCACATCATCACATTTGCTGAGCCCTAAATCATTTTTTTTCTTTCAAACTATTAACTTGTTATGCACAGAAAAACAACCAGTGCCACGACAGGAAAAATATGCTTACCGAGTGATTCAAGGAGAAATGTAAGTGCTTTCCCCTTGTCCCAATCAATCACAGGCCGAACCTCTAAAACCTAGTTACGTAAATTTCGGAAAATAAATTAATAATGTTATAAAAACAACATGCATACAATAAAGAGATTCGGGTTGTCATTAAAGATCGATCACCTTCCGCCCATGACTCAATCGTAGACGAGGGTAGTTTCTGATCACATCGTGGACACATTGTGCAACTGTTTTCCAGTTCTGAGGGGAAAAAGAATAGGTTTGCACAAGTTAATAAATTATAAACCATCACCAAAAGATACATGATGTTTATATTGAGACGAACTTATAAAATTTTAAAATAAAAAATATGAAGAAAAAAAATTAACATATATGATAATTTGAAATTTTTAGGGTTCCTCTTAATCCGTCACTGAACCAAAGAAAGTATCTACCTTTTCGTCTACGTTACGGTAATGGACGGAGACACAGAACTTGTTGTTTTCAACTTTGGCTCCATTTATTTCTTTGGTGCTTTTGACGAGTGAGTTAAAAACCTACGAAGAACGAAAACTCTTACGTTAGGAAAGAGACGAAAAGATCGAGGGCTTCAAGTATTGACACTCACAAGACATTTACATACCTCATCAATCATAGGCAGAAATTCACTAGCAGGCTGGAACAAATTTACTTCCTTGCCCTGTGTATTAAAGAGAAACAAGATTAAGATATAACTTAAAGAAAGAACAAAAAAGGATAGAAAATTTGTAGCAGAAAACCTGGTTATCAGTAGATCTAATGCAGTTAGGAGTATGGTCAGAAGATTGCCCAACAGGACCCATGATGTCCATTCCATGACTTCCCGCGTAATACAGATCTTTTAGTCCAACAAACTCGTATACCTTAATAAACAAGGGCGTAGAACAAGAGAGTCAACATTAAAACCTATATGCAAATACGTAAACCAATGCCAAGAAAGATGTCAAAGCCCAAATTTAATAGTGAACGTGATCCTCATATCACCTTGTCACGGCTTCTTCCACTTATTATAGCTGTCGGGAAGTATTTTGCGACATTTGCTACAGCAGCTCGCATCTAAATAAAAGGCTTTGGTTAGTCTACTATCAAGTGCAGAACAAAGGGGAAAAAATGGTTTGTCAGGCAAACCATTCATTCTTACATCAGTAGACATGAAGGCAAGATCTGGGTTGTCAACAATTGGTGAAAGCGTCCCATCATAATCCAAAAACAATGCTATTCTCTTGCCTTTTGCAAAATTTGCAATTTGCTCAAAAGATTTGAGTGCAGATGGATATTTTACCTGTAAAAGCAGAGAGCATTGTACATAGATCAGAGCAAAAACACATCAACTTGCTTCAAAGTTGGATAAAAAAAATGTAAAAGTGAAACAATACCATCCATGTGCGATATGCAACATCTGTACCAGATGATACAAGCTCATGGCTGTAGTCCCTGGTTATTTTATGACGAGGGGATGAGGATTTCATAGCATCCAGCCAGCTGCTGGCACGAACATCATCGAGAATTCCAGCTTTTTTCCGAGGAACAGTTGATAGATTTGGAGAAAACACTGATCCCGGGGGTGAGCATGGAATCAGACCGGAAGGTACTACTAATCTTGACTTGCTTATCGTTGCAGGATCAGCAAGAACAGGAGCAGTGTGATTGGGTTTTAGGTCCATTTGGTCCAGCTTTGTATCACTACTTATAACGTAAAAGCCAACAGATTCCTTAGAAAACTTTCTGCCTCAGATATTCTAATTAGCCAACCCTTTTATCGATGAAGAGCCACCTCTTTAAAGTTTTCTTGTCACTGCCGTCCAGCAAGCAGCCCATCAAGCATAAAGGCCCTGAAAACTGATACAGAAATAGTTGGTTAAAATGGACAAATAAAGCTAAAGATCACAATACTTTTCAAAAGAACCAGCTATTAGAATCACACCTGTTCATATCTCTTGGTTACTCTGCTTAAAACTTATGTACGTGGACAATATCTGCAGGGAATTGATTTAAGAACTATGATTAATGTACAGATCCAAAGCAACGTCCATCAAAACAAGAAATGAATAATTGCCAACAAAAACCACTAAGAATATTTGACAAATTCATTTATTTGAAGGCAAGGATAGAAAACATGCCTTACCAAACAAATGTAAACAACTAACTTCAGAAATCAAAAGGCTGGGTGCAAAAGAGGCACAGGAAAACAGAACACGCATCTTTAGACACTAACGGCGTCAAATATTTGCAGTACACATCAGTCGGAAAATGAAAATGAGCAAAGATGATACAGAAATGAAAATGAACAGCTCAGATTAACTAAACAAACTGGGACGACTGGAAACATCTTATCAGTCAGAACAGGAAAGCAACATCCGACAAACAACTTGCAAGGAAAGGGACGTTATAAGCATGAGAATTTTCTATAAAAAGCATAAATCATTACGGGTAAATATAGTCAAGTTCTACTCTCTATGAACATTCACAGCCTCATGTTCCTTTTCAAGTCCAGTCTTTCTCTTACCAGACAAAGTTTTGGACGCTAACATTTAATATTGTCTTGGTCGTTATCTTCTTTTTTAAGTAACTAGACTGCAATTTTACATGAACTTATTCCAAAATATCATGATAAAGTGAGTATCTAGGTACACCCTGATTCTAGAACTTCAAGGCAAAATGTTGCCAATGAATAGTGTTCCATTACACACTAATGGAACATATATTACCTAATTATACCACTCACAGGAACCAAGGCTATAAAAAAGGATCAAAATTGCAGAACATGAAACAGAAAAAGCAAACTTGTGGCTACAGAAAATACACAAGAACACAACACCCTGAATAACACAAACTGTAAGATCGTGGGAAAGAAAATGATGCACAAGATACCAAAGCCTGAATTTACATGAAAGCCTGAAACAGAAGGCACTCATTCATAAATAAAACTGGCCCATATTTGTAGAGCAAAATATAAGTAAATACTAGTTGCTCAGTGAAAAAGATGTCTTGCCCCACAAAGGGAGAGAGGGAACCACGTTAAAGGCAACCACACATAACAGTGAAGACTGAAGTATGGGGAAAAAAACACAATGGACCCCGAGCACATAAGAGAATCATTGTTTGAATTAAAAATCATTATTGGAAAACCAAAAACAGAAATTTTCAGGATCGGCCATGCTCATGTTGCCATCAATCAGCATCAAAATCAGCTCTAAAAGAATTTAAGACTTGAAGCGTACCTTTCGAACATCAGTAACATGCATCATTGTTTAATCATAACGGTTAAGGATACTACCAGATAATTAATAGACGGATGAAAATCTGACGATTCAACTAGCGTATAATTAGTAGACAGCTGGTTTTCAATCGTTCATAGGTGGGGGTGAATAGGAGACCATTAAATATAATTCAATACATTAAGGGAATGAGAAAAAAAATAACACTCATTTTATTAAAAAAAGGGTAATAAAAATTTTTAACATTTTTTTAAATTTATGGATCCATCACTACAACGATTGATAGTTAACTATATTAAAAATCTATCTCAAAGTTGAAAACAAAAAGAATAATATAACATCAGCCAAAGCAAACACAACTAGAAAGAGTAGACAAAGTATATATATAGAGAGAGAGAGAGAAAGAGAGAGCGGTTAGGATCCGTGGAGGATAGAAAATCAAAAACTCAAATTAATTCTTTGGTTTTTCGATAAATATCTTATTATTTGTTATTGTTAATCTCAACTTTCAATT